TATCTAAAGTCATATAATATTGCAGTTTAATGTTAGGCATATATAGGTAATGGATGCAAAGGATTACTCATTAAAGTTGTGTTCCCAATTTCACTTCATCACTCATCGGTTCATTCAAAAACTTTTTTTTCTTAAGAATGTCAATAAGTAGGAGATTTATTGCCTCAACTTCGAGGTACACTTCTAAAACGAGAAGTAGTTATCTAAATGCATGGAGTAAAGACATAAAAGAGTGATCTATTGCATTAAGAACCTCTTCTCAACATTAACTACATAATTCTAAATAATAATTTACGTGCCAAGAGTTGTGATGTCTTAATGTAAACAAACTAAGAATTGGAACCCAATCCAATCAAATATAGTTTAAGTTTACATAGTCTCTCTCAAATCAAAGGCAATATGTTAAAATCACAAATAAATATTATAATCTGACAAAAATAATTACCAAATTCCAATCATTTGTGGTTAGACTTGAGCTTTCTGAAACCTCTGTTGAATAATGGTTGCCAGGAGAGGGAAGGAAAAAGGCACAAGCCAAGAGGTATTGCCGTTTGAAAGGCCTGAAAAGACATTTGTAAATTCGGTGCCTTAACTCCCTATAAAATCAAACGATAGCAAGGAACTCAAACGAGCTTTGGATTTGGACCAATTCAAATCCATATTGTAGTGCAAATATTAGCAAGGATACTAATTTGCAAATCATATCATCCATTAATTTCCCCCTCAAGCAACTGTGAAACCAAGAATATCTCTTCTGCGACCCAAAAAGAATCACCCCTCTCATTGTCCTGAGTATTATTGCAGCCCTTCAAGTCCGATCAGAGTGAGATTGTTAATCAATCACTTCAAGAGAGCTGATTGATAAATGGTGGAGGGAGATAATTAGGGTGTAACGAATGGGATTAAATTATGGTTTGCACGCAATTGATAGAAGATAGTAAGCGTGACAAATGTATATGGTAGTGCTGGCTGGCAAGGGGATGGGATTGGACGGCCAAGATGAGTGCATAAATTGTGCATACATTTTGAGTTTGGCATGAATTGTTCTTGTGTGCCTACATGAACAATAGATTGCTTGTGCTTTGATTTATGTTTTTTTTTTTAGGGAAAATGAGTCTTTTCATCCCAAAGTTTGGGCTACACCATCCAAAACATCCCAAAGTTTAAGGACATGCCATTTACATCGCAAACTTTAAAAAAACATGTTACATTAGGATATCTATATACTATACTAAGGCAAAAACCAGAGAGAGAAAATTAAAGGCATGGAGCACATGCACATAGGATTTATAAATGCACAAAACAAAATAATAAAACGACAAAAAAACAACTAAAATAATTTAAAAAAATAAAATAATAAAAACTGAACCCTTATTTTCATGAACCAAATCCTAACACAGAGATTGATTGGAGAGAGTACCAAATCCTAACAAATTTTAAGAGATCCGCATAAACCTTGTTACCTGTGAATTTAAAATGTCATTTAAAAAAAACAAATTCCTTTAAACCCAGAGGTAATCATGTTTAAAACTGAAATCATTACATATTTTATAAAAATACAAAATTTATATAAAAATGTCTAAATGTGTATGCCTTCCCCGTCCATCGGACGGGTCTAACACCTAGTTCGTTAAATTTTTAACTCCAGTTAATTAATTAGTAGTGGTACTTTATTCTGTTTCTCCTCCCCCAATTCTTTTAATCATTTAACACGTTCCACTAATTCCCACCTTATAAGAAAATAGCTAAACCTAATTTGGTTTTCACATCATCCATTCTTCCCTTGCTTAGAAAAAGAAAAAAAAAAATCCAAGATTCATCTTATAAATTGATAACAATCATCAGAGGTTTTGTATGTGTCCTAATTAGAAAGTAAGCCCTATTTCATTTATTTTTTAAAATATGTAGCATCATTATAAAAATTGATGTTGTAATTGATATAGGGACATGCACCTTTTTTTGCTTGGCATGGATCAAATTTATCAAACGCAAGCATGAAACTTTTTTGACTAAAAAAATGGGAAAAAAGAAACTGAATGAAATATCGTCGTTAATAACTTGAAAAAATTAACAAATGTCCTTATATTACATATTTTTGAAAAGTTTGGGATGAAAATGACATACTTTTAAATTTTGGGATATTTTAGATGGTGTGGCTCAAACCTTGGGATGAAAATGCTCATTCTCCCTTTTTTTTAATTTCTGTTTAAAGATCTACTATGCATGGAACACACGTTTTTGGCACGTAAGAGCAACAACGAACGAAAGATTTCATACTTTATCTCGATATAAGCTTTTTTTTAAAAAAATACAGTTATGTGTAGATGGACTTCAATTCGGAAGAAATTATTCTAAAAGTACAATTATTCCAAAAAAAGCAACGATATATGAAAAACATCTTATTTTCATATACGTCTCCATTTGAATAACAATAATTTATTCAAGCAAACTTTAAAATAAAATTAGATACTCATTGGCATTTTACATTTCCGCCGTCTCCCAAAATAAAAAATAAATTTTTTTTTTAAAAAAGTAATCTGCTCAAAAAGTTCTTTACATTTGTCAGAAAATTTAATTTTTGATCCTTTACATTAAAAATTCACTCATTTGGTCCATTGCATTCGTCTTTTCAACTGATTTGGTCCTTTTTATTTTTTTTGACCCTCTATATTTGTGGGTTCTGGGGCTGACCAATTCTTGGTCAAGTTAACATGGGCATTTTTGAATTTATAATTCTTGAATTTTCAAAATTTATTAAAAACAAAAAATGTAATAAAATAATACTAAACATATAATACTAGTTTATAATTTATTATTAAAAAAGAAAACACATTAAAAATTAAAAATTCAAAGGACAAAACTCACTTCAGCCGTCTCCCAAAATAAAAAAGAAAAATTAAAAAAAAACTCATTTTGAATATGTTGAAACATAGAACACCAATACACGATCATCGTGGTCTCATTTCTTTACGGACATGGTCAGTATGGGTGGAGTGGATGGTCAAAGATACCACGGCAGCTTTTCGTTTCGGATCGAGCTCCACAACTTGACAATTCGTCTATTCGAACTGCTCAACCATTTCGAATCGTACTTGTTTGCATCTCAATCACACCCTAAGCACGACATCTCGTATGAATGAGTTCTTTTGATATTTGAAAGTCGTTAGGGTTTATGCCAGTAAAAACACATAGTGTGTCTAGTGAGAAATGTTAAAAAGCGTCCAAAACAGGAGGAAGGAAATGTGTTGAGTAATAATTATTTTACTCTTACCTGGTGGTAGTCAGTGTCTGTCAATATGATAATTATCTAAAGTTGTGATATTATTTAGTTAATTATTTAAAGTTGTAGTTAGGTTTATCTTGTATTTGATACTATCTCATGTGGTATTATCTAGTTGTTAGGATTCTTTATATAAACATATGTAATAGTCACGGATCAATTGCTTAATACAAGTCATTTCATTCTCTAAATGTGTCCCACGGTAAAATGAAGAAGGTGGCTTGGACATAAATTTCGTCATTCTAAGTTCTTCTAACAATTATCACACGAATCCAAATATAATCTTAGTTAGAAATTTTTTTTTTTTTGCTTGAGATTTGGGTGCCTGAAATCCAATTTTGTGGACATAATTTGGTCGCCAATTTTATGTTTTACAAAAAGCGAAAACCATTTTTTCGCGTGTTACAAATGCGAATGAATTTAATCAATGAACGCAAAGTAATATTAACAGAAGGAAAACCTTTGTACCAAAAAAAAAAAAAATATAAACAAAAAGAAGGAAAACCTTACATTTCTTTTCCTTGAGAATTTATTTCAGTTTTTATTAACTTTACTATCCTTGTTCTTTGAGATTGTATTTTGAAAGATGGAATTAGTTTTAAGTTTAAACAAAAGTAAAAGAAATTTTTTTTTGACAAAGACAAGGTTATATACAATTTTCTAAAATTCAATTCTCATACAATACAAATTATATGAATAGTGTTCACCCAAATTTATTTTGTCTTTGTGTTACAAAGACAAAATTTCATATCATTTAACTAAACGTTCTGAAAATTAACAAACGATAAATTAATTGAAAATTAATTTTAAAATGATATAAATTGAAGCTAAAAATATGTAATATAAAATTATAAAGTCATTTTGATTGAAATATTAATTTTTATGAATAAAATTTAAATTTTCCGCATATAGAATAAAAATTTTTAATGGACAAATTTAGTATATATATGCATATATAAATCAAACACTATGAACTTAACTGATTCTCTCCTTCTCTCCTCCCATGGCGTATCGCCATAGGCCTATCTCAGCCCTCTCAAAAGCCTTCCTTCGCCCAAATTTTAGGATCTACATTAAATCCAAAAACTATACATAACCACTCCACAAAAATCAAGCTCCTGTAATTCATTCAGAATCCACTTTTTTCAAAGGAGAGCCGACTTTTCTTCTCACTAAGGAAGAAGATGAAAGTTTGGCTGCCCCCTTTTGACTAACCTTAGTCGGAAAATTCACAAAAGGCCGACCAAAAATGGAATACTTACAGAGAGAAATCCAAACGATAGGATTTAAAGGAAGTTTTCGCTCGGCATGATCGATCATCGACATGTTCTCATTTGCTTTGACTTGGAGAAGATTATCATTGTTGTTGGATGAAAGGTTTGTGGATCTTTGACTCGCACTGGATGCGAGTTCTAAAATGGACCACAGACTTTAATCCAGCGCACGAAAGTTCTATTGTTCCAGTTTGTGTTTCATTTGAAGGGCTTCCTATTCATCGATTTAATGAGGCGTATTTGTGGAAACTTGCTAGCATCATCGGAACGCCTCTACAAATTGATGTTCCGACTCTCAATATGTCGCGACTTTCGGCGGCACGAGTTTGTGTTGAAATAGACCTTCTCAAAGATCATCCCAATTGAATCAGGTTAGGTGTTGAAGGTAATTCCTATTTTCAATCAGTCTTTTACTAGAATATGCCTCTATATTGTGTCGCATGCAAAAAAAAAAAAAAGTCACGATATTCATTCCTGCCGTCACAATACAAACACATCTTCATCGCAAAAGAAAGACTCGCAGCTTCCAATCCTATCCTCAAAGCCGATTTCACAAAGCAATAAAATAGTAGCACCGACATCGAAGACGCAGGCTTCGAGAGAAAATCCATCGGCGACCCAAGCAGCACAACCACAGCATCAAGCAAATATTGTGGTCACACTTCCTGATCAAAGCAACAACATCCTTGCAGCCATTGCTCCAATCAGTGAGGGAGGAAAATCATTTTCTTCCCTGCAACTGGAAAAGGAGTCAGTTGCAATTCCATCAATTGCGCCATCATCAGACCAAGAAAACAAGTCATCCACGCAGCCGATGGGGGAGAAGTCCCCTTCGAATCAACCTGCGGCGACAAAAAATTATCCATCTGCCCAGCCAGCGCAGCCGTTGCTGTCCAATTCAACAAAAGTCCCGCACGAAAAGGACCACCAACATCCACAAAAGTCTCCGCTGCTGTCAACTGGCAAACATCTTTCAATACCTGTTCCGGACCACCAACAGCTTCTGGTTACCATGACTGGGGGGAAAATCTCCGACAGTGGAAACAGTTAATCTCGCAACAGAGGATTCTCTGATGGCTTTCGGTGAGCAAGGAATTCCGGTCGATCAACAGATGGAGCCTCTGACGGCGGCCCAAGAAATCCCCAAAATCACGCAAAATCCACCCAGTCCACAACTGATGCTGCCTCCTTCCGCGATAGATGCGCAATTACCGTCTCCGGGTCAAGTTCCTTCTCAGAATTCAAAAACTGATTTGTCGCAGTCAAAGGATGAAAATTCGGAAAATCAAATTGGAAAGAATATCCGGGAAATCTCCCCATCAGTCACGCAATCTCCATCCTCTTCTAATGCGGGAAAGTCTCCACAAAATAGCTCTATCAGCAACGGCACTCAAAAATTAAATTCGGACGCTGCGGAATTTTCTTATATTCCTCAACCACAAGCCCCGATTCTAGAGGTTTTACTGCCGATTACGGACCCAAAGTTGTACTTGTCCAAGGATGATATGGAGGTTGGGAATAATATCGAGACCTTTAATCTAAGTTATTCGATTGAAGAAATATATTCTGAAGGTAGAATAAATCATACTTCTATTGATTCTGATGATGAACATTTTGATATGGAATATGCAATGGAACCAGAGTTTTTTTACAGTGAAATTTCTGTTCCCACATACCACAATCGATCGAAGAAAGCGAAGGCTTAAAAGAAAGTTCAAGGTCGTCGGTCCGCTAGATTAAACAAGGATTAATTTTTACTTTAAGTTCAAAATTGTATTTGATATAGGGTTAAGTATATTTGCTGCCCTATTTTTTCTTTATTATCAATAAAATTATTCTTTTGTTTTAAAAAATAATAATAAATCAATATTTTTTTGCATATCAGTAATGCGAAAACTTTAATAGTCTTCATTATCTAGATAAAAGATTTTATTAAATGCTGTTAACTTAATGATTAATTTTTTTAAAAATTTTATTTGAAAGAGTAACCATTTTTCGTATTCTTATTTGCGAAAAACACACTTCTTTCTTCATTAGCAACCTTGGGCATAGTTTTGTCCAGTTCAACTTTTTCAGATACCATTTTGTTAACTTTCTTTCTTTAATCTATGCATATGTGAGAAACTAAGAGGCTAGGTTACCAAATCGTCACACTCTCCGGTGAGATCTGGTTAATCGTGATCTATCTATAGTATTATACTAAGAGAGAAATCAGAGAGAGAAAACCAAAAAGATTTCTAAATATGCCACGTAGGATTTTCATTTTTATAGAAAATGGCAAAAAAAAAAAAAGTTTATGCAATTACAGTACAAGTGCTTGAGATTTATGGAAATCAATTTATCACACTTAATTTTATAGTAATGGATGGTTAAAATTATTTAAATCTAATCAATCAATATTAATAAGCAATTAATGTCGTGAATTGCATGAGGAGAAATTTGAAGAAACAATATGGGATGATTTTTCACGATTTTTGAAAGTACTTTTTCTCATCCAAAAAAAATGAACATAATTCATAAATTTATTTAAAACCAATCAATCAACATTAATTTTTTCGGATATGATCACGGAATCTGATCTCTTACGTGTTCAAAACATATCATAGGTTTGAATTTTGAATAAAATTTTGAAATGGAAAATTTTTAATGACTTTATCTTTTTTCAAAATTTTATCAAATTAATCCCTGGAAAACCGCACGTAGAAAGGAGTATATATGTATTTGAAATGACCATAAGAAAAGTTTATTCATGCATTACTGTTGTCGGATTTCTTACACTTTTTCAAATTTATGCATTTGCTAACCAATTTTTCTTTCAATGTTTGTTAACAGGAGGCAATGCTTACAGCTTCATCGTGTACCATGCGAAAACAAACGAGGTAAATTTGTAGCATTCAATTGTATGCTTTTGATTTTCATAAATTTAGAAGGTTGACAAAATTTTCTTTTCCATGGAAACAAATCAACGGCCAAATGAGACGTTTTAATCTGTTTTTTGTTCCGTGCGATGAGCCTGTTTTTTCACTGAAGATTTTTGATAGGGATGATTTTATGGGAGTGGTCAATTAACTAGGTACATTGTGAAACATTGATTGTTTCCATAACTCGGGTAGTATTAACATATTGTTGATTGTAAATTTCTGTTTGTTATGAATTAAGGCAATAAAGAGATGAAGAACTAATGGTCACGATAAAATTCATGGCGTACTATGACAATATGTTGGGAAAAATATAAACGATAATATACATACATATATATAAATATATATTCTCATAAATTTTTGGCCATGGATTTCACTAGCAGGGTAGTTAAATCTACTGCTGGAACAAAAATTTTCTCACTTGATAAATAGTGACGTGCAAAGTATGTGAGTTAATAAGTATGTTCAAATTTTTAAAGGTGGTTTTTTCATATTTTATTAAAATTCATGGGTTTGCACTTTGTAGACGCTAGATGAGATTTACTGTGAGATTATAAATGGAGGGGTTGAAGATCCAGGTTCGTTTTTTTTATTTTTTTTATATCGGCATTTATTTATTATAAGGTAGGGCTTTAAAGCAGTTTTAATATAATTTTTTTTTTAAGAAAAGAGAAATTTGTGCCAATCACCTGTGGTAGCGCTGGACAAAACAATTATTTTTGAATTTCAATGATCTAAAATACTTGAATGATAATAATAAGAATTATAATTTTTTTAATGGTAAATCATTCTGGATAAAATCATGTCTCCATCTTATATTTGTATTAAGTGCTTTATTTCTTTATAGTGCAATATTTATTTTACGAGATGATGATCTAATTCATTCTTACTTATATTAAATTTCTTTTTGCAATTCAACAATTTTATTGATATTGAAAACATTTAAAATTTCACGTATTGTTTTTTAAATGCATATGAATAAATCCCGCACATCGTGTGGATTTAAGGACTAGTATACTAATATAACTTTAGGACGTTACAATATTATTATTATTATCACAATCCTCGCTTTACTATGTTAATTAAGCATTTAAGCAACCCAATAATTATAATCACCGCATCGATCCCCCAGCTCTGGTTGGAGTGATAATTCCTTATATTCAGAAGAAGACCTAATTTAAGACAACTGCTTCGTCTAGCAATCTCTCCTCTTTCCAAACCTCAAGAAGAGTTTCCAAGTTATGTGTCTACTCCAGAATAGGAATTGACCAAATAACGAAACTCAGTTCCGGATGGGTCCAATGCAAGTACACGACCTTAGCAAGGAACTCAAGCGAGCTTTGGATTTGGACCAATTCAAATCCATATTGTAGCGCAAAAATGAAGGATACAAATTTGCAAATAATATCATCCATACTGAGGATCAAACAAGTGAGCAGATCTGGGTTGGCGGAGGTTGATGGCTTAAAGAGTTTAAGAGTTGAGGCGGAGGATAAAGAGAGTAACGAATGGGATTCATTTAGGTTACATGAAATTGAGAGGAGAAGATGGTAAGCGCAACAAGTATATGGTAGTGTTTTGACCAAAATGATGAACTTGTGCTTCTTTTTAGTTTGGCTTAATTATGGGACGGTAGCTAAATGCATAGATTTTGCTTGTGTGCCTACATGAATAGTAGATGAGGGCTTGTTCTTATTCATGATATAATTGTATATACTATAATTTTAGGAGGGACGTACTTTTGTTTGTCTATACATGTGGAAAACCAAGATGCTTGATTACAAAAGAGTCACTCTCTCTTGGGTAAGATGTGCTTAATCATGATATACTACTGTAGTGGATCGAATACAACTTAGGACGTTACAATATGTTTTTATCTTTTTGGGTTAAAAATATTATGATGATCACAATCCTCGCTTCACTCTGCTAATTCACCCCCTAAAATTACTATCGACTTTCTAGGAGGACCTCCAAGCAGATGTAGTTCCCCACCTCCGTTCTCAATCTATGTATTCATGGTCTTTCTGCTCCAGATCAATGGGGCTTGAGCAAATAACGAAGAACTCAAACCCGGCTGGGTTCAAATTGAGTACACGACTTTAGCAAGGAACTCAAGTGAGCTTTGGATTTGGACGAGATTCATCTTATTCTCCATCCCTAATAATCCATTTAAGCCATCGAGAAAACCAAAAAGATTAAAATCTATTCCCCAAGGGAAGAAATTAATCCCACATCTGTCACTATGCTTCTCTCCTTCTAGAGTCTTGTTGTATTGCATCCATCAATCACGACCCTATTGGATAATGGGTTGATGGTGCCACTTTTAATCAGGGTGAAAAAGGGAAGAAGATCTGGGTTGTGTTTGTGGTGCCGGATGTGAAAGAGAGAGGTGGAGGAAACAAACTCTTAGGATGCTCATTCAGTTGTTTTAGGCTGAAGCTTTACGTATATATTTATAGCGGCGCAGCAGTGAAATTTTCCCGGGTCTTTAAAGTGGTCTTCATGAGCTTGTTATGTCGTGTGTGGATAATTTGACTGTCCAATGGGAATTTGATGTAAAATGATTTTTTTTACTCTCCTACTAGCTCGCTCAAAAACCAACCCACGAGATTACTCATTTTATCTTGAAAAGGAAATCATAATTAAATTTTGATATTTATATTAAAAATAATAAAAATTGCATTCCTCGCAATATGAACTATTTTTTTGGACAGACATGTACTCCACACGCTATGTTGTGAAATGATTATTTTATTTGATGTATTAATACAACACTATTAAGAGAATAACATTTTCAGGTCGAAAGAATATAATAATCCTTATATGACCCGCCAACTAGCTTTTCAAGTTTCAAAATCGAATTCAGACGGGACGACTATGATAGTGATATACTCTTGTTAACCGCACTACGTGCCGTCTGGAATATAATTATTACTATTCTTAACCACAAGAGAACTTGAATGCGATCAATTTGAAGGCAACATAATTAACACGAATAGGTGTCATTGTAGTAGTGATATGGAGCATAGTAGTAAGTATCGTACGATATGCGATACGTATCACACAATACGTATCAAAATCAAGGATTTCGATGCGTATCATGGTATCTATCGTAATCTTTTGTGTATCGGTCAATTAACGATACGTATCGTACGATACATACGATATACGATATGATTGTGTATCGTACGATACAAAAACATCGGTAAAAAATAATTTTATTTCTTAAAAGAATTCAAATTGTTGTTTCATAATAACCATTAAATTTCAAATTAAGAACGAATTTCATTTATAATTTGTTTTAAATAGATATTTGTCATTTATTTCTTTCATAAACATACTCATTCTTAATTGACGATAAAATTGCTTAATAAATTATTTACTTTTAAAAAATAAAATAATCAAAATATTATTTTATTCATAATATCCTTTAAATCAAGTACAACTAATAACATGTTAAATGAATGCAATTCATATTTATATTAATTTTCTCACTATTAAATTTATGGCTATAATAATATGAAAAATAGTATTTATCACATATGTTTTACGACCATTATTCATTTAATAAATGAGTAGTTTGTGTAACTTTCAAATAATCTTTAATTCAACTTAATCAATTTATTGTTTATAACTGAAAAAAAAAATAAAAAAATATATCAATTACATATGGAGTTTATGATATTCATTATTTATTATATATATATATATTATATTAAAACGTATCTTACGATACAATACACGATACGATATGCGTATAATAAATTTAAATTTCCGATACATGGTATGTACCACGATTTGATAACTATGATTTGGAGCCATGTCTGATATGACAGTAACTGAAAGAAATTATGAGTAGATGTGCAATCACATTATGTCGCTCATCGGTTCATCCTAATCTATTTTATAATTTTATTCATATTGACAATGTATAAATTCGTTGTCGAAGATTTAATTAAAATTTATTACCTCAACTTCATAGTACTTCTTCTTCGAGTAGTAGTGATCTAAAGGTGGAGTAAAACTAAGGGTTTCTCAATTACTTTCTGATCAAATTAACGTGACTCGGGATCACTAGTTCCATTTCTCTAGTGGTTAGCAATAGTATTATTTTTGGAGACTATACCGTCAACACGCATAGCTGGTTAACAAGAATTATCAATATCACCAGCTTCGGACTAGGGAGAAAACTTAAAGTCTCTACTCTACTAACATAGTTAGAAATTTAAATTTTGATTCTTCAATTTGTATAACTCTCTGTCCCAAAATAATATTGTCCAATCTATAATACCTCTCCGTCCCAAAATTATTATCCATTTTAGATTTTAAGTGCAAACTGAACAATAATTATGGGACGGGGGAGAACTATTTTAATATGCCAAATGAAACAATTATTTAGTGCGTATGAAGCTTAATAGATAGAACTACCTTGTTGGTTGGTCATTGAGCTAGTTGGAGCCTTGATTGCATTCTGTAATCAGGGAATTAGAAACACAAGAATACAAGGGTGACCGACAAGGGACCCCATGTTTAGAGAGCTTTCGACTTCGTAGTGACTGGTTTACTTGATTATTTAATAAAAAAAGGCTAAAAATTTATGTATGTTTTTTCTTTTTTAAAAAAAAAAAAGAGAAATGGGATATTTTATTATTTAGTCACGTTAAAAGGACATTGTCGTGCATTCTTTTTTGCGTTTTTTAAAATCATCACACTGTCTTGCATTCTTTGTGCGCACTTGGTGTTCAAATAAATCACATATTAGAATGTTTCTTATATTGATATAGAGAAGGTGAAATCCTACTCCAGTTGGTAACATTTTTTTATGCGACCTCGTACTGTTAATGATCGCAGATTAACCTTAACCGAGATATGTACGGGTTCTTCACATGCATATTTCTTAAGAATTCATTGTGAAAATCTATAGTACTTACTTAAAGTAATAAATACTATGGACACGTGTCAGCACCAGAATAAAAATTTTCCCTCTAAATGTTTACAGACGTTTACAATACAGATTCGAATCAAGGAAAATATGACACGTGGCTTCTTCTTTGATCAGAGAAATTTTGTTCCAACCCATTTTTCAGAAATAATAAGCACTGTAAAATCAAATTCAAAAAAGATTCTCTCAAATCGCATTAACACGTCCCTAATTTCAGTAATAATAAGCAAAACAATCCCCTCAAATCAGCCACTTCAAACCTAACATCAATTATCAACATTATTCCTAATTTCATTAATTATCGAAACCTACCATTAACTTAAAAATAAAAATTTGTTCATTATTTAGAAGATTGAAATAGAACTCCTCCATTCCGCTTCCTTACTTTTAGGTTTCAGTTTTGTTGAAACAGACTGATTGAAATAAATCCTTTTTCATTTTATTGCTTTCGTTGAAGCGACGAAATTTCTTCTTATCCAGAGCCGTCTTATGCTCTGATCAATCTTCACGCCATAGGTGATTTTATTTTAGATTATTTTTTATTTATGGTCGGATTCCAAATTCGATGATTATGCGGTTGACAAGATCTCTTTTCAAATCCAGGTTGTAATTGGTTCCCATTCTCCATAACGTTCAATGAGTTCAGAGGGTGTGCACAATTGTGCACCACTGCCGACGAACTCAATTATTCTGACGTTGAAGCAATCATGTAGAAAAAATAGACCGGCGAACGGAAAAGATGGCTGGAGCAAAAGCAACGGAAGAGTAATGACCGGAGGCGATAACGCCGTGAGCGTGGACAACTGCAATTTCGAATAGCTACAGTCGCGAATCTGAAGAAATTACAAATAGCAACAATCAATCGATAGCAGCCGGTGGCGAGTGTTTGAAAATCAATCGATAGCAGAAGAAGATTTTAAATTTACAAGGTTAGATTTTTTTTCCCTTCTTTTCTATCATTTTAATTGGAAGTTGTAATTTATGAAACTGAATTTGGTCCAATAACACAGATTAAACATTACACTTTTGGTAAAATTGAATTATGATTTACTAGATCTAGATGAGGACCAAACACACCTAACATATATGTTTTATGCAAAATCAGAATCTTAACAATGCTATTCTGAAAGAGATTGCACGAGTCGGTAGAGGTGGAAACAAGGCTAGAAGTGGAACAGCTCGGAAGCAAGATCACACATTAAGGAGTCCAGTAGCAAGGGGGAGTCACCTAAGCAGGGTTTCAGTATTGTAGATGCTGCTTTTGTCTCTATTCAAGGAAGAAGTGGAAATGCTGCTAAGATGGGCACGAGTGTTAAAACTATTATTAGAATAGCTTAGCACATGGCGGGTGAGAGGTACCAGTGAGTGCCAAACTGGTTAGTATTCTTTTCATTGAAATATTAGGTATTATGCATTCATTTTAAGTCAAGCTCAATGTTCAGAGTTATTCTACTGGATTTTATATAATGATAACTTTAGGGAAAAAGTTCCAAAATGACAATATGGAAGTCTATTACTTATTGCATCATTATTGTGATTGAGATGATCTTTCAAAATAAAATAACTTGCTAATGTTTCTTTACAAAATCGCTTTCCATTGTTGCAACACCTCTAAGTTATGGGAATGGATTAGGAGGGCTGAGAGTTTTGACAACCTCCAAAATAGTGTTAATAAGAAATTCTCAAGTCATTTAGTCTTTGTCGAGGGTAAATCCCGGGGGCGTAGAGTCAACGGTCCGACCTGGGCAGGAACCTGCAAGACGGAGGTTAGCACTCTGAAAATTAAGTCAGTGCTAGGGAGAGAAACAGGTAATTAACACACTTAGAGAGAGAAGTGAAAGTGTCGAATTGAATTTGCAATAAATGTGCAAGGAGTATTTATAGGTCCCAATGGGACAATACCTGTGGGCTCCCGTGTCAGGAGGGGCAAAAGCATAAATAGACAAGGGTTGATCCCCCGTAACCCGGCTGGGCCTTTAGAGAAGAATAAACGGGCCTCTTCAGTTTATAAGATAGGCCCAAATAGGGTGAACCGTTGGGCCGGTCAGAGTGGGTCAAAGTTGACCCCCAACAAGTGCCCCTGTCAAGCCCAGTGCAGCGAAGCCGGATTGGGCTTGACACAAAGGAATCGCGAGCCCAACAGATCAGCCCAGTTTCTGGAATCTTCCCTCTTCTGATCGCCTTAGATCCAATGGCCCTGGGTCTTTCCCGCCCAAACTTGATGGACGCGTAGGATTTCATGGGAGACTGCGCTGCAATGATGGCGTCTGATGGGAAATTGAGGGAACTGTTCAGTTCCTCTGGAGTATATAACTCCCCCACAAGACGCCTGAAATCATTTTCCTCTCTTTTGTATTCAAATTTGCAACAGACAGAGCTCCGCTTTCTTCTCTCTTTTTGCAAATCAGAGCAACATTAACATTCGGGCGTCGGAACCACTGTCGGCGACTGACGACTGCGACTCCAAACGACCATTAACGAGTAAGTCTTCACCTTCTTTGTAAGTTCAAATTACGGTATGGCTAAAGAAGTAGTTAAGGTAGAGGACGTTTGGTGTTCACTAAACCAAGATAGGTTAAGCGATTTAGAAAACCACTACAGCCTTACGGCTATTAACCCCACCCTACCAGAAAGCCATGAGAGAGCTAGTACTCCCCCTTTGGGGAAAGTTACAATTTATGAGAAGTTTTTGGAGTACGGGTTACACTTTCCTCTGATGCCCATGTACAGAGTAATAGTGGAAGCCTACGGCCGACCTCTAGCCCAATACACCCTGAACCTCATAACCATCGTGTTAGCCTTCGTACACGTATGCAACAAGACGGGGGTAGAGCTAGAAATCTTCCTGTTTAGATGTTTTTATAAGCTCGTCCGATGCGGGAAGAGTTTTTTCGGGTCGTTCAGCTTCACCAAAAACCCAAACGGTCCTTCCAAAGAATTAGTAGCCAAGAATGAGAGTTCTAAACATTGGAGGTCGGGCTTCTTTTCCATGGACTCGGACTTGGCTGCCCTTTATCCATGGACGCCGAACGAGGGAGGAACAACCAGTTTAGATCCGTGGACCAAAAAGGATAAGAAGGATATGGAGGCCCGAAGAGGAGACCTAGAGAAACTGGTCGGGTGGAGGAAAACTTACACCTATAGGCAAATCGCGTCGTTGAGCGACACGATCAGCTCTCGTAACCGAGGTATTTTACCCGAAGACTAACTTTGGTTATTTTTCTGTTGATAGGTATATTTGCTAACCTGATGGGTAAACGCTCGGCTTTTGATGATTCAGACGAGGAGGAACCATATCCCGCGGAGAGGATACAAGAAACTCCTCAACCTGTAATGGGACAAGCGCCCTCCAATCAGATGACGAGGGCGCACGTAGAGAGTTCGAGGAAAAGGAACCCCTCGGGTCAAGCCTCGGGCCATCAAAAAAGAAAGTGGGGGGATCCCGAGGTGGTGGAAGTCGATCCCTTGTCCTTCAGCCTGCCAGCGATCCACGAGTTGTCTTCTATCGACGAACTCTTGAAGGAGGGATACGAAGACCAAGGGCAAGGAGCGGGCCAGTTCGAGGGCGTTCCCGAGGGTCACGCTCTACTCACGTTCGACCCTCCACGGGTTGAATGCGCGGACTTGCCCGCCACAGGGATGCCGCGACTGGAGGACGGCATGAGACAGGTAAACCCTTCTTCTCTAGTTTTTAAACTCATCGTATTCGAGGGAGGACCCCCCCTGATCTAGAACGTCCACGTCATGCAGGCCATGCAAGCAGTGAACTCCTTCGTGACGGTGTGCACGGACTTGGAGAGACAGCTGGCCTCGGCCAGGACGAAGGCTGCCAGCGAGGCCGGCAAAGCTAGGGAGGCCGAGGCGCGGCTCCAGGCCCTGGAGGAAGAGAAGAGGAGGCTGGAAGAGGACATCTCTACAATGAGAGGGCAGTTCGAAGGCATGGAACTGGCTTACAGTCTCCAAATTGAGAGCCTCCAGGCGACGAGCGTCCCCAAATCCCACCTGGACAAGTACATCCTCGCCGAGGTACAGAGGTACTTGGGGTCGTCCGAGTTCGCCCTCAAAATAAACAACGTCATGGACCCGGCCATGGAAAAAGGAGCGAGGAAGGTCGTCATGGAGATAGAGGCGGCCCGAAGGAAGAACGAGGACATCTAGCCCATCCTCGACGTCCGCGGTAAGGCTGCGGTGCAAGGCATGTAAGCATTTTCGCGACATGAATTTCGCACTGCTTCCTATAATGCAGCAGATTGCTGAGACTTGCCCCACCGTTTCTAAGCCCGAGGACATCATAGATATCCCGGGCAGTCTTTCCTTCGTCTTCCAGATGCCAAGGGGAACTCAAACGCCTCTGAGGACGCCGCCGGGGCCTAATGAGGAGCCGGAGACGGTCGGACATACACCACCCCCCAAAGGGCACAACTCCGGGAGCTGCGGAGGGGGCGGCAATTTGACTGACTCCAACACCAACAGTAGAGACAAGGTGAATGATGCGTAGGGTTAGGACTTATTAGAGTAACCACCTGTCTATTCCCCGTTGTAACATTTTCACCCAAACAATCAATGAATTTCAGTTTTATTCACGATCGAATTTACTTGTTCGTTAATAATTTCATGTCTTTGTTCGTCGGCTCAATTTTAGTTTTCCCTCTAAGGATTCTTCCTAGCCCGCGCTCCCTAACCTTCCCGTTAACACACGCTTCCTTTCAGGGGAAGGACGCGGCTTCAGACTTGCCCTAGGCGTGCCTGCGACTCCGGGTCATTGGGAAACGTCCAGGATTCCTTGGATCAACCTGCAGTTGCCCGACCCTCATTACGATCCGGTGGCCTTTCCTCTGTATGCGGCTCTCGGAGGTGCTTTGGTAGATCCGGCCGTCGACAGCAGCCGAGGAAGACTGTCGGGTCTCGAGGGCCAGCTGGAAGAGGCCTTGGAAACGTATAGGGCATCGGAGTTATGAGAACGACGCTCTATTTCACGAGTTAGGTCAAAGGTCTCACTAGGGACTTATGTATTTAGGTAGTTAAGTAATGTTTGGTGTAGTTAAGTAATTTTTGGTGTATTTTTGCCAAGTGTACATATCCGAAGGCCGTACCTTTGAAAATTCACACATATATAATCGATTCTTCTTTTTGAACATCGACCCCACTTTTTTGCTTTTCCTCATTTATTTGTTTTATTTATTATTCGAGCTTTTAAGGTTGTATATGTAAAATTCTGTGTATTATCGACGTCCTTTGCTACAATCCGACGGTGGTAATATAAGTATCTTCCCCCGGATTTTACATTTCTACTGTATTGCTAGTGTTGCAATGATTAAGTCGATGGTTAGCTAGAATCGTACCTTGTCAAGGGTCGGCCCGAGGGGAGTTAACACTCCGGGGCCGCGGGAACCATAGGGGTTCTGCAGGCCGCAGAGGTCAGGCGGTGCCGTCGGCCGCCGGGGTCGAGACAGTTTGTGAATGCCCCAAGGTCACGGAAACCAAGGAGTTCCGTAGGCCGCGGAGGCCACGAGGTGCCGCCGGCCACTGGGGTCGAGACGGCTTTGTAAATGCGCCAAGGTCATGGAGACCATAGGGGTTCTGCAGGCCGCGGAGGCCACGAGGTGCTGTCGGCCACTGGGGTCGAGACGGCTTTGTAAATGCCCCAAGGTCTCGGAGACCATAGGGGTTCCGCAGGCCGCGGAGGCCACGAGATGCCGTCGGCCACTGGGGTCGAGACGGCTTTGTAAATGCCCCAAGGTCACGGAGACCATAGGGGTTCCGCAGGCCACGGAGGCCTCGAGGTGCTGTCGGCCACTGGGGTCGAGACGGCTTTGTAAATGCCCCAAGGTCACGGAGACCATAGGGGTTCCGCAGGCCGCGGAGGCCTCGAGGTGCCGTCGGCCAAGGTCACGGAGACCATAGGGGTTCCGCAGGCCGCGGAGGCCACGAGGTGCCGTCTGCCACTGGGGTCGAGACAGCTTTGTAAATGTCCCAAGGTCATGGAGACTATAGGGGTTCCGTAGGCCGCGGATGCCAGGCGGCGCCGTTGGCCACCAGGGTCAAGACGGCTCTAGGAAGGATGGATTGTTTACAATGGTACGGGGAGAGTTCGTATGTTAACAACAAAATTACTAAGTCCCCCCCCCCTTTTGGCTACGTCTATTACAGAAGCAGGCAGCAGGCTTCAGACATTGAACTTCCTAAGATTCTGGATGTTCCACCATCGGGGAATGTCGCGAGGCTCGTCGTCACAGGTGCGTAGGCGATAACTACCTGAGGGGGAAACTTCCACAACCTTGTATGGTCCCTCCCAGTTTGGAGCTAGTTTTTTCGTCGGTTCTGTGTGGCTTGCCTTGTTTCGTCGGAGGACCAGGTCCCCAACTTCGAAGTCACGAGTCCGGACCTTGGCATTGTAGTACTTGGCCATAAGTTGTTTGTATTTAGCTTCGCGGGCTTTGGCCAGATCTCGTCTTTTATCCATGAAGTCAAGGCAAAGGCGGATTTCATCTTCATTCATTTCCTCCGTGAAGTTGACCACCCGGGGACTCGGTACCTCTATCTCAGCCGGGAGAACAGCTTCCATGCCATAGGCGAGGCTGAAAGGGGTTGCCCCTGTGACCGTTCTCATGGTAGTGCGAATGGCCCAAAGGACATGGGCCAATTTCTCGGGCCACAGCCCCTCAGCTCTCTTGAGCCACGTCTTCATGCCTTGCAATATGGCCTTATTTATATTTTCAGCCAACCCATTGGCCTAAGGATGAGCCACGGATGAGAACCACCGTTCGATCCCGAGCTGCTCGCACATAAAAAATTTTATAATTTGCTGCTGCATCATTTTAAAGCTCTTCGGGCAACTTTCCTTTCAATTCCTTCAAGGTAGCCTACTAATGGATCATTAAAAAAATTTAATATAATGGGCATAATTTCTTTTGGGTCAAATTTTGCTGGTCTTGAATATAAATTATGAACAAAACCGGATGTGAATGACAATCATAATAGTTAATCTCATTTAAGTAGTACTTACTATCGCATTAGCAGTAAATTCATCGAGTGGCTGGTCTTTTTTTGCTTCTCTTGACTCAAGGAACAACTCTAATTTGTTTGGTTTTCTTCCCTTCTCCTCAGAAATCTATTAGTAAATTATAAGAAAGAGAGGAGTAAGTTGAAAGAGTATACACTCTACATAAAAACAAAGAAGAGAAGAAAACAGATCTAACGTGTTTTCCATTGTGTAAAAAGTGATCACCTTATGCGCAAGATTATGTGTATCCATCCTCCCTTGCCTTTGTGGAAATTTCTAAAGTCGTCGGCTCCTTCGATTTCGTTTGCTTTGTTTCTGTAATTCATATATTGAAGCAATACAATCCTATTGAATAGTTCCCAGCCGAAATAGATCTTTAGTCTTAAAACTTTTAAAAATAAATAAATAAACATGTCTAGTATGCCAACTTTCACTTTTTCATGACTCCAATACTTAATCAATGTCGGCCATTGATGCTTTTCCACTTGTTCTGGACAATGCTCAAGCAAGTAAGTATGGTCATGTCTATATGGGAGATAGAACTTTGCTTTCGTTTTTGATTTATGATCCTTCCAAAGTTTTCCAAGTCTCTTCAAGCATGTTTTCTTGTAAACATCAGTGAGATTTGTGTTTTGCTACAATTATGAAAATATAAAAAATATTGAGACAATGTATCATATGATTCTTATAATTACCTCATACATAGAAAAAATTATGCAAACCAAGTTCTCAAAACAAATTCTAAAGTAAACATACTACCTTTACTTCATCCCATACATCATCCTTATTCGGCTTCTTCGGCATCATTCTCCAATCAACATAGGTAAGGGGTAGCTTGTGGCCTTCTCTAGCAGAAACGTTCAATTGAGTTGCAAATTCGGAGGCCATAACTCCAACCACTTGATTATTTTCATTTAACTCTAGAATCCTAATATTTTCCGTACCCCATTGAAATTTTGGCTTTGTTTGGCCTCTGTGAATCGCACCTATCAATTTTAATCTGTTAAGGAATCTAAAATCGAACAAATCTTACATATCAATATATGGGGGAACATACCTTTTTCATGTGAATCATCACTACTTTCATGTGACTCATGATCACCATCACCATTATCATCTTTGAAGGTGTGAGAAGAAGAGTCGGAATCCGTATTTGAAGTAGATTCATGATCATCGGAACCATTGATAGTAGCATCTTGCATCGGGGACCTATCGGAACCATTGATAGTAGCATCTTGCGTCTGGGACCTACTCGTTATTCCTTCGTGTTGATGATTATGCACTAAATCAAGCATTGAGCAAACAAGGCGTTGAGATTTTTTTCGGACGATGTGACATTGCTACTCTATGATTTGAAATCAACAACAGAGATGTAAAGTATTCTGATATGAGAATATCTTTTTCATAGATGGATAGGAGAGGAATTTGCGATTTATGAGAGCATAAATGGGAGAGGGGTTGATATATAGTAGGAAACGGGAGATTAGGAAAATTTGTTTTGTGATGAAGATGGGATACACACGATCACTATTAGGGAATCTTTTAGCGGGATTGTTTTGTGTAATTTTTCTTTTGCGGGAAATTTTCAGGAATATAAGTGGGAATAGTGGGAAATAAGCACTTTACTTCAAATAAAATAGAAAATCCAAAACATTTTGAGTCTAAGGCTTAAATAGGCAACTGACCAAGAACAAAAAATTCGGATAAATGATAAAATTAGGTACCGTAGGAAGATTAATTTATCAAGATGTTAGAACATGATGATGTGTTTCAATTATTATAACATGTCAGTTTTAATTATTGAGTTTAATGACATAGGGATATCAACTAATAATTTTTAATTATTTTTTTTCTTTGATATTGTTAGCTAAATTGCTATATAGTCAATGCAATTCGTACCTTTTTTAACTTTATACTTCGGCCAAAACCATGTCCAACACTGATTAGTATTATTTTTAAATTCAAGCTATGTTTTTCAATTCTACACAACAAATGCCATATGGAAAGCTAGATTCTATATTACCGTAACATGTTATTTCATACAATGCATGAATCATTCAAATTCTAACTATCAATGTAAAAGGGGAAAATGACAATTTTTTTCTCCGTAAATTACCTTTTTTCCCTTTGGCTTTCAAGTATTCTTTGCATTCTATTCCTTGGATTGGCAAGGTTTAATTAATGACAAATGTATTAATTGCAGAATGTGGTGGCTTCCAAAAGGACCGAATATAGACTTGGAATTGATTGTGGTTGACTTCACGAAACTCGCATCGGCAAACTCACTTAGACCCGCGGCCAGTGGATTTAACACGATTGGACCCTTCTCAGAATTCTCTTAGCTTAAAGCTACCAATTTGGGAATGTTGCAGATGATTTAGAGTTCTGCCACAGAAGAGGAAGAGAAAGAGAAATTGTTTGTGAGGAAGTTGTGATGGTTTTGATGACTCGGGAAAGAAATCTGATTGAGTTGTTTTGGAAATGATTCAGTTGAT